GTGTGCACCCAAGGTCCTTGGTGCACCGAATTTTTAGGTTGGGTGCACTGCACATGATAAACAACATACAGATGGATGGAAGAAGATTAGCCGCGGCGACTGTTGCAGGGCTTCTCTTGCTTGCAGTCTTTTACATTAGCCCTAACAACAGTCGCGGAGCGGTGCATTGGGCCAAATGAACAAACATGCGTTTTACCGTGCCGGAACACTTTGAGACCGAAGTTTGCACGTCCCTAGATTCCTAACAGCCTCACCTAACGTGCCGGGGTGTTTTGCGCGTCAACCGGCCCCTGCGCGACTTGTACCGCCACTATTTGCGATCGCTCCCCACGTAAAACATAACAGTTGGCCGCCATTTTTGATTGGAATCAGCCGCCGGCAAATTTGCCGCTATTTTTCTGATAAGTTATTTCTATGGATCAGAAAAGTAGCGGCACATTTGAAGTAGCTGATTCAGCGCGCGGCTGACCAAGATGGCGGCCACTCGGCTTATGAATACATGGGGAGCGATCGCAAATAGTGGCGGTACAAGTCGCGCAGGGGCCGGTTGACGCGCAAAACACCCCGGCACGTTAGGTGAGGCTGTTAGGAATCTAGGGACGTGCAAACTTCGGTCTCAAAGTGTTCCGGCACGGTAAAACGCATGTTTGTTCATTTGGCCCAATGCACCGCTCCGCGACTGTTGTTAGGGCTAATGTAAAAGACTGCAAGCAAGAGAAGCCCTGCAACAGTCGCCGCGGCTAGATGGTTCCCCTACAGTGTACTTGGTGACGGTGAGTTCCACTCTGCGATAGTTCTTAAAGAAAGAATGAGTTTTTTTTTAACACTGGTAATTTAGACTATTTCTTGTTCTTTTGTTTCAACGATGGACAACCAAGTTTAGGTACTAATAGTTAATAGTTCACTGTTTGTACAATCACAATCACCAGTTTATTGCTCATTTTGTACATCATGCATAGTATGGAGTATCAACTGCGCTGCTAACTAAGTTGATGCATTACAATTTTAATTAAAAATGCCAACATGGTCTAGTATATGGACCAAACCAATATTTGTAGCCTAATCTGGCACTTAAAGTCTAAATGTCAAGAAGTGAACTTCTTCAGGATTATGACTTGATCCACCTTGCATTCAGACTGGTGGACTACCTTTCCTTGGGTTACATAAATGCCAACATGGGTGTAGGTTAATGTAGCTCTCAAGGCCGCATGCTTCCATGGGGAGCGTAGCGCCTCGGCATATGGATCTCCAGGTGGTTCTGTCCTGGGCTGCCTCCCACGCAGTGTCGAGGTTGAGGGAGACAGTCAGAAGGTCATCCTTCAGTTGATCGCACCAGGTTCGTCGTGGGCGGCCTCTAGGACGGGACCATGTAGTGGGGGCCGACTCTCTCAGTAGAGCAGCAGGCTCCAGGGGGGGCACCGCCCGAGCAATATGGCCAAAGAGCCGGAGCCTGGCCAGCCGTATCTTACTGGTCTTACTGGTTAATGTAGCACTTAGGTCTAAATGTCAATTAATTGAAGTTCCACTGGATTTTGATTTGCAATCAGACTGGTGCACTACTTTTTCCCTTGGGTTACATAAATGCCAACGGTCAGACATATGTACCAATATATGTGTATGTTAAAGTGGCACGAAGGTCTAAATGTCAAGAATTGAAGTTCTTTTGGATTATATTTGATCCACCTAAGTTTTTTTTCTTTGGGGTTACCCCCCAGGAATCATTGAAAAACGCCATCAGGTGAAATGTATTTCCTGGCTAAACAGCAAGCAAACAAACTTCTAAAAATGTTGTTTGATAAAGTTAATATTGACTTTTGACTTCTGTTACCACAGGGTAGACCTACTCAGTACAAGCCTCTCCCTACCTCCTGGAACCCATTTAAAACCATGGACCTGCTACACATGCTCAGGCTTATTGATGAGTATGGGAGCAAAGTAAGTAAAGACTTCATTCTGTTTTACTAAAAAAAAATACAGTAACAGTAAGTTCTCACAAAGGTCTAAGATGCTCTAGTATCCCCAAGATTCAGTAAAAAAAATGCTGCAAAAACAGTTTCTCCATTCTACCATAAAAAAGTCTCTGACCCACCGCTGCCGACGCTGCACCAGGTAGTAACTCATTGCATATCAATTTTACATTAATTACTACACATTAAAAGTACAACTATAATGCAATATAAAAACAGTTGATTCAATGTTTCCTTTAAGTTAAAATTACGGAAATAATCTAAAGTTGTAATATGCAAGGGTTGTATACGTGAAGGCTGATATGAAGTGGATCATTTTTCATTGTTCAATAACTTTAATACAGTACGGCAGAGTAGTGTTCAAGAAACGGGACGTTCTGCACCTAAACTGGCTTATGTCATGCGAATTTCTGAGGTTTCTACAATCTCAATGATATTAATGTATTTGTGACAGTACTGCTGAAATTAATTTTTTTATCCCGCTGATGCCCGATTTGTTTACAGATCCCGGCTGATGCACCCTGGGATTGCCCACATGCCGCAGAGTGGGACAGTATGACGATGAAGGAATTCTGGGAAAAACACTGCTGGACAAAGTAAGAGACACATATCGACAGGTCATGATCAGATATCTAGAAAGATTAAAGCTTCAGCATCTGACACAGTTATGTTATTTTGCAATGCAGTGATTTTGCCATGCTAAAGTTAATGCAGTTAGATTGAAAATCCATGGTTTTAAATGTAAACCAACCTTTTATCACAGGATGCCTATTTATTTCTTGTATATTTATGAAGGTTTACTACATTTGTGGTAGAATTGAAAATTATTAACAGGTGACTATCACCTCTTTGAACCAGTCTTACACTGGAAGGACCCCTGCTATTTTTTTATAAGTGTGGTTGGATTTTAACATGCTTGAGGTGTGTCTGTCCTCAAACACAGGACCTCGTCCTATCCTACTTCAGATCTGAAATGTGAAAATACATGACATTGTGTAAGGTTTAGAGTATAATTATTTTGTATTTTTCCTACAGAGCTGCCCACACGTTTGGTGACTTGATTGTGGAGTCATTTGTGACAGCCAAGTCCCACCAAGTGTCCATGTTGTGGTTCCTGTGGTACATCAAACAATGTGGAGGTAATTCGATGATTCGAGGTTATACATGAGATACACAAGGAATTATTGTTCCTCAATTGGATAGATTTTGAAAACTGTCAGATGTTTCAAGTTATAATGAAAGTTTATTGCAAATACATGCCCGAGGGCTAATTGCAGTTACAAACAACATAGAAAGAAAATACAGTGGTATGTGAGACTATATCTACTTCTAATATTATACTATATGCTACAACATGACATGACACTAGTTTTACTGGGTTTGACTTCTTCTTTTTAGGCAATGGAAGACGAATTTACCCACTTCTTCTATAATATGTGGGTTCTTTGATTTTAGTAGTAAAATTGTTTTTTTGTGGTAAGGAATGGTGGGGAAGTAAGGCAGCATTTTGGACACGGTGGTAAATAATTGATTTCTGATGTCGTCATAAAATGGACAGTTAGAGATGAAATGAATTTCGTCTTCCACTGCATTTGAGGAGCAATATTTACAAATTCTCTCCGACACAGGTAGTTTAATATATCGCCGTTTTTCGATTAGCAATCCACTACTTTTCATCAGCGACTAGCAAAGTGTGGAAGTAATGTTACATGTAAGCTTCATTCCTAATACTATTAGCTGATTCAGAAGTTTTTGGTCAGAAATATTATTTTGACAATATGGTTTATCAACTGTTAACTAGTGGTCTCAAGTTAGGTTGCATGGGTTTTCCTTCTGGTCCCAAACTAATAAGACACATTTTAAAACTGTACTCTTTCCCCCACCAGGTTTTGACAGGTGCTGTTCAACAGTTAATGGTGGACAGGTGAGTCTTTCTTAAGAACAGCTGACACAGGTACATGTGTGTCTGTCACATGCCCTTAATGTTGCCAAGCTCATGTTCATGTATGTACTAGTATAATTCAAGTCTTCTTTCGTATTTAACAACATATTGTGTACACCTGTCAGATGAACGATTTATTTAAGTTCGGTGCGATGGGTTTGCTTCAAACTTGGTATGAACACGCGGGAGCACACTCTGGACATGACCACACAAAGAAATTTTAAGATTCGTGCGAAAATTCCTGGGCATTGGTGGGCGTTCCCTAAAAAGAGAAACCCCCTGAAAGACATGACAATTGGATTGACAAGTTTCTTTCAAGATTCAATATTTTGGTTCCAAAAGAAAGATGAACTTAAGTACACTTCAGAAGTACCTGTTAAGGGTGAAGGTTAACCTCTGGTGCCTTTTTTGCTTTAACTGCATTCCCCAATATATTGTGATTTCCCATGTAACAGCCTAATTCTCTTGTGTTTGTAGGAGAGGAAGTTTCTGGGTGGATCACAGCAGATCAGTCTGAGGATGCAGGAGTTGTTGGGGGACAGAGTAAAGCTGAACAGTCCTGTAGTGAGGGTGGAACAGGGACAGGATGGAGTCACACTGTACACAGGCACACAGGACAGCTTCCAGGTGTGTGTAGGGTACAGGAGTGTGTGTGTAGGGTACAGGAGTTACAGGACTGTGTGTGTGTAGGGTACAGGAGTTGTTGGGAGACAGAGTAAAGCTGATCCATCCTGTAGTGAGAGTGGAACAGGGACAGGATGGAGTCACACTGTACACAGACACACAGGACAGCTTTCAGGTGTGTGTTACAGGAGTGTGTATGTGTAGGGTACAGGAGTTACAGGACTGTATGTGTGTGTGTAGGGTACAGGAGTTACAGGTGTGTGTGTGTGTAGGGTACAGGAGTGTGTGTGTAGGGTACAGGAGTTGTTGGGAGACAGAGTGAAGCTGAACAGTCCTGTAGTGAGGGTGGAACAGGGACAGGATGGAGTCACACTGTACACAGACACACAGGACAGCTTTCAGGTGTGTGTTACAGGAGTGTGTGTGTGTAGGGTACAGGAGTTGTTGGGAGACAGAGTAAAGCTGATCCATCCTGTAGTGAGGGTGGAACAGGGACAGGATGGAGTCACACTGTACACAGACACACAGGACAGCTTCCAGGTGTGTGTAGGGTACAGGAGTGTGTGTGTAGGGTACAGGAGTTACAGGACTGTGTGTGTGTGTAGGGTACCAGTGTTAAGTTACCTTAAGGTGCTAAATATATACTTTAGTTTCAGCACATTCTTAGTATCTAAGTGTCAGAAAAAATAATACAATCAGCACTTTTGTTGAAATGAAACATTATATATTTTTTGCTGACATTATACTTATTTTATTTGATATGGTGCAGCTAAAATATTTTTTTATGCACCCAATTTTTTAGGCTGGGTGCACCAGTCCTATTCCCAAAAATGAATTTCGAGCCCTGACTTGATATTCAATTGCTGATTAGAATCTTGACATCCTTAATTTGTTCATTCTTTAGGCTCGCTATGTGGTGTTTTCCATCCCTGTGCCCCTGCAACTGAAAGTGACCTTTGACCCGCCACTGCCGACCCCGCGGTACCAGCTGATCCAGCGAGTTCCCATGGGCTCCGTGCTGAAGATCATGGTGTACTACGAGCGACCGTTCTGGAGAGAAAAAGGTTTGCAGTTGCTATGTCTTTATTTGTTTCAAGCTCACTGGCCCATACATTATAAGAACAAAACTAGACTGTCTGCCTTGCCTGCGTCTGCCATATATGCATGAGAGGGCACGTAGAGGGCGTACTAAGTAACATTTGCAAAGCATTTGCATAATGTTTACCTTCGCACATGGTCTGCTCTCAAACACATTCACATATATGGGGACAGGAGTCTAAATCCCTCCTACTATAAAATTGCAACATTACATGTATGTTACCCAACACCGGTTATCATGGTGACAGATGTCTGGTTCATGTCATTGACTTTATTTGTTTGGAGAAGAAGAAGAAGAAACGTAACAAAAACAATAAGTTTTATTCATGTTTCTGTAGGCTACTCTGGATTGATAATTATAGAAGAAGAGGATGCTCCTGTCTGTTTCACTTACGATGACACCAAACCGGACGGATCATACCCTTGTATCATTGGGTAAAAATGCTGTCATAATCATATTAAGGCCACACCAATTTAATTTGTTGGTTCTCAAAACTAAAAATAAAAACAGGTCTAGGCATCCTATTATAGCCCCAAACGCTACGAAAGGAGCAATGAAGTTAACACAAAAGGCTTGGTTAATATTTTTTAGTTGATTCAGAACCAGAATGTTTTTTTTTTTTGCAAATCAGAAAAAAATTAAGAAGCGAATCCGAGAACCAACAAATTAAATTGGTATGGCCTAATAATAAACATGCTATCAGAACAAAGATAACACTATTGGTTTATAATGATACTGAAGTCCAGAAAATCTCTTAAGGTCTCTCAGGACAGTTGAACATCATGGAAGAGGATGGCCCAGTCACCTTTACGTTTGATGACACCAAGCCAGACGGGTCCTACCCTTGTCTTATTGGGTAATGTTTCGTTGCAAAACTCTTGTGCTACCAATTAATACCAATCTCCTTGAATCAACATCAACACCAATTGTTGACTGATACTGAAAATAGCAGAGGAGCAATCAGTACATGAATCACTTTGTGGGCACAACCCACTAATTCCAGCCCCTATTGGAATATATGGAAAACATCTAAGAACTGAGCTGTCAACAATCACCTACTTGAGTGTTCAACTATTGCAAACACATATTGACAGGGTAGTCCAACTTCCAAATTGTCCATTTAGTCCAAAAATTTCACTTTTTGACCAGCGATACCTGGCACGGCAAATGCAAACACTGGCAGCATGACCTCTGACCCCCTTGAAGACCACCAAAAGACAAGAAGATGGGATTAGTTTTAGAACCTACCAAGCAGCCAAAACAACCCTAACAGCCAGTTTTTTCAAGTTGATAGAAATAGAAATAACTCTCCAGCTGGAAAATGCCAGCATTTATCCACACATACCAAGAAAAAGGCTTTTTCAGTTGGTTTGGCTGCACTCACTCAAAGGGGTCTCAGACTGGGCCCTCTGGGCATGCGCCATTTGGTGGCCTTTGCCCTTGTGACTATTTCAAAATTATAGATCTTGTCCCATTGTAGTTCATTTTCGGTCCTGTAATGTCTGGTTCATCTACTAGTTGAGGTGACTGGACCATATTGCTCTGCCATGTACCAACCAGCAGCTACTAAGTTTATAATTCCACCATTTAACAAAAAACTGCCACAATCTGCCAATTAAAAAAACAAGTAAATTTAAAGAGATCTAGTAATGCATCATATTCAGTAATCTCAGATCTATACACATTTGAGGCCTTGAAAGCAACATCAAATGATTAATGTGGTAGTCCTATGTTACCTGTCAGAACTGTATGTTGATATAATGTTGCACACTGAAGCAAATGTTTAATATGCAATTTCAGAAATTGTGATAAACAATGAGCATAAGAGTAAAGATGTGACGATCAATTTTGAGATCTTAAAAGAGCATCACTGGGATATGTTTTAATCATCACATTCAATCAAAATAAAACTGAATTATAGACTAGAAATTGGTAAAAGGTGTTAAATATTTTATCAGATACTTCATTTCCATTTGGTAAGGCCATGTTGATTTGATTATATGGATGACATCCTCCGGGATCCCCAAAACTGATGCGCGCATGCGAATAAAAAAAAAGTTTTGCAAAAAAAAAGTTCTTTTCATTATGAAATCTACGTGGTCATGAGGGTTGAGCAAATGGCACAGAATATGGTTTGGCAAATAATCTAGTCTTCAAGTTCATTTCTTTACAATTTCGTCATTGGTATAGTTTTTATTAATTTTTTTTGTACTTATGGTATATTTTTGCTCATTTTGCAACTGTTTTGTACTATCTACAGTATGGTTGAAAACTTTTTTTTTTTGGAAACGGCCGAAAATTCATGCGCGCGCGGATGTCATCCATATAATCAAATCAACATGGCCTAACTTCAATACAAAAAGAAGCTTTATAACATGTTGACTGAATTGTTATATATTTGTTCTTCAATGTAGATTTTGCCCAGCTGATAAAGCTATTCACTTCTCACAGCTTCCTGAAGAAGAAAGGTAAATTTAAATTTTTTCTGGCATTCCTGGAAAGAGGGGAACCATGCTAAAGATGACTGGTATAATGTTAGAAAAGAGTACTGAAGAATGTTACTTAGCAAAAGCAATGTCATTGGAAATGAGTCAAATCCTTCATCTGCTTAGACCTAGAGATTAGTGGAATGGTTTTGTATTAGTATATTAATGTTCAGAACTATCTTTCTGTACAGTGCTGTTGTCAGCTGATTACTGATGATTAAATACTAACAAACTAACAAAACTTTTTGCAGGAAGATGCTGATCTGCAAGAGCTATGCAAAGGCCTTTGGGACAGAGGAAGCTTTGAAGGTACAAAAATGTATGAATATGGACGCAAAAAGAAAGACTTCACAACAACATACAGCTTGAACAGGTTTAGGATGGGTACATGGTTTCTGAGGACCCTTCTGAGGAGTTTTGGTCACAAAGTCAGTGTAAAATAGTCATTAGAAACATTTTCAATTAGTGGTAAAATGCATTTTCAATTAGTGGTAAAATGCATAACTAGAAAAGTAACATTTGCACAGCAAATGCATAATGTTTACCTTTGGATATGGTCTGCTCTGTTAATTCTTACTCAAACACATTCACATACATGTATATGGTGACAGGAGTCGAAATGCCTACTATGAGATTGCAACATTATGTAACTCAACACCAGTTACCATGGTGATAGACGTCAACAAATCAGGTCATTGGCCAGGTCAGAGGTTAGTGTTTGGAACAGAAGAAGAAGAAATTGAGTAAAAACAATATGTTTTCCTTCGGTAAACATAATAACCTTTGCATATGGTCTGCCCTGTTAATTCTTAGTCAAACACATTTTTATTTCATATATATGGTCAGACAGGAGTCTACATTGTAAATCCCTCCTGCTATATAATTGCAACATGATGTAACCCAACACTAGTTACCATGGTGACAGACAGTCTGGTTCAGGTCATTGACCTTTTTGGTTTGGAAAATAAGAGGAAACGTAGCAAAAACAATCTGTTTTTCTTCGGTATATTAACATAATAAGAGACCAATACATCAATGATACAATTGCTGTCTGATTTACCTCATTTTGTGTGATCATCGCCACATATGCATGAACATATAATAATATTATAAATAAATGAAATGCTATGTGCTAAATAGACTGCCTGATGACAATATTGTCTCTGCTGTTTGTTAAGCCAACAGCCTATGTGGAAAAGAACTGGATGCAAGAGGAGTACTCTGGAGGCTGCTATACCACCTATTTCCCACCTGGGGTCCTCACTAACTTCGGAAAGTATGTTATCATTATCAGCTCATAGTGATAGAATACAGCATGTAAAAATAAAAGTGACGTTTTTGTACACTTTTCTGTAACAATTGAAACTGGCATAAACATCTAATTATTGTATGAAATTAAATGGAAATATTAAAGCTGCATTATAAAATTTTCTAAGCACAATTCCACCAACAAAGGCATCAAAGCTTGTCACCTTCAGTGCTAAAACTGTTATTTCACTTTTATTTGTCTCATTTCCAAAGCAACCATTCAAAGAAGAATTCAAATTAAATATGACTGTTTGCCGTCATCCAATGGCTATGCTAGTCTTTAATACAATTTTGCTTGGGAGCCAATCAGATAGCTTGAATATTTAAACTCTTCAAATGAAGATGTTGGGTGTTGTGTTGATTGACAGGGTACTGAGGGAGCCGTTTGGACGTATCTACTTTGCTGGAACAGAGACGGCCACCCAGTGGTCAGGTTACATGGAAGGGGCGGTACAGGCTGGGGAGAGGGCCGCTAGGGAGGTGAGGAGGAGCAAGCATTCTTCAGGGCTGGAAATACTGGGTGCATGTGCACCTTAGTGCACCCAAATTTGGAGCTGTGCACCCAATTTTTTTTCCATGGGTGCACCAGTGCACCCAAATATTTCCGTAGGTTTATATATGTTACAGTAAATATGCTGAATGTATAGTAGTATACAGCATATTCTAATATCTAAGGTAAAAAAATAATGAAATCATTGTTATAGTACATTTATTTAGAAATTAAACATAACTGGTTTTTGCTGACATTCTACTTATATGGTGCACCCAAAATATTTTTGTGCACCCAATTCTTTAGGTTGGGTGCACCAGTGCACCTATTCCCAAAAATGAATTTCGAGCCCTGATTCTTAAACTAGCAGTACCATAGTCTCAGTGGTTAGAAATTCCTCTTTTAGACCCAATATTGGCAACGTATAGATCATTCTTCCTGAAGATCTAAAACTCAGTACACATGCTTGTTTGATGCCTTTTTTAGTTTGTTGAAGTCCTCCCAGCAACCATTGGTATGGTCGCTTATGGCGGCGCCCATTGGCCACACATCAGTGCAATCACTACAGCAGGGGGCTAGTTCACTTGTAGTGGTATGCGTTTAACTCCCACACTCTTTCTCAACTGTTGAGAAAGTGATCTTTGGTATGACTTGGCTGGGGATCGAACTCACAACCTATATACCGAATGCAAGGCGAGCACTCTACCCACTTGGCCGTTGCACCAATGCCTTGAAAAGAGAGTATGCCGTCAAAACAGTAAACAGGGTGGTCAGAAATTCACTGCTTGATGTATTTATTGTGATGATCTGTCAGAATGTACATGGAAATCCTTTCCCATGTTTTTCAGACCTTACATGCAATGGGTCGCATCCCTGCAGACCAAATATGGCAAGAAGAGCCTGAATCCAAGGTACATTTTTGGTTCTTTTTTTCACCCCCACCACTCACTTTTTTTCTTCACCACCCACACAAATCCTGTCCTTGGTGCTGAACACCACCCACACAAATCTGAACATGCCTGTCCTTGGTGCTGAACACCACCCACACAAATCTGAACATGCCTGTCCTTGGTGCTGAACACCACACAAATCTGAACATGCCTGTCCTTGGTGCTGAACACCACACAAATCTGAACATGCCTGTCCTTGGTGCTGAACACCATCCACAGATATCTGAACATGCCTGTCCTTGGTGCTGAACACCACACAAATCTGAACATGCCTGTCCTTGGTACTGAACACCATCCACAGATATCTGAACATGCCTGTCCTTGGTGCTGAACACCATCCACAGATATCTGAACATGCCTGTCCTTGGTGCTTAACACCACTCACACAAATCTGAACATGCCTGCCCTTGGTGCTGAACACCACCCAAAGAATCTGAACATGCCTGTCCTTGATGCTTGAAAAAAAACACAAATACTACATTTATTCATAAAAACTATACTTACAATAAGCTGATTTTGTTTCTTCTTTGGTTTTTCTCTTTCCCTGACTCATTCATATGTTTAAGTTCAGTTGACTTTATGTACTTTTGTGTTGACTTTATGTATTTTTGAGGTGACTTTGTGCACTTTTGACTTTTATGTACCAATTATGCTATGTACAACATTGTATTAAGTTCTTTATCTGATGTCTGACCTTTGATTTGGACTTGGATTTATGTTTATATGATTTCTTTGCTTATGTTTATATTTATGTTCTGGTGCCTTATAAGCCCATATGAGCTGGGTGACAAAGAAAGGTTGCAAGACACGATAATAAAAATTCATTATTTCATTTATTCAGGTGAACATGTAGCTGTATTTGATTTGATTTGATTTCTATTTGATATATTGAAATTGCAATACACGCGGAACAGAGACAGTTGTTGCTGGTGTTGTGTCCCGCACATAGAAACGAATACTGGGCAGACAATATTCATTTTCACTTGAGTCTAGTGGGGAAAGTCGTGTAAAGTGCCTTTCCTAAGGGCACAAGATCAGTGGCATGTCAGGACTCGAACCTTGGACCTCTTGATTCCGAGTCGCGCACTCTGCCGTTGCACCACACGACATATTTCAGAAATTGCAAGACACCTGAGTACATTGTTTTTTTTTTTTCAGGAGTGTCCAGCCCTGCCTTTTGAGTCGACGTTCTGGCAGCGTAACTCCCCGTCTGTCGGAGGTTTCCTGAAGCTGCTGGGTCTGACCCCGGTCCTCGCAGCTGCGGGTGTGGGAGCGTTCGTCTTCAAGAAGAGTAACCTGTAGCCGCCATCTTGTGAGGCTGAGTTGACAGAATCAAGTCATAACAAGAAATGGAAAATTGAGTTTTTATGTATTTTAGGCCACACCGCCTTAATTTTATGGATGACATCCTCTGAAGACCCCCAAACTAGTGCACGCGGGCAATTAAAAAAAATTCCAGGACAAAATAAAAATGCCACTAAACCACAGGAATACAAAGCAGGTATTGTTAATTTGCGGCAGTACTTAGGGATGTATACAACAAGCCGGCACATACTGGCTTTTTGCGAAATTTATGAATCGGCACTGTACGTATGTACTGAGTTCTTGAGTCGTGGAGCTTTGGTAGCCTGGGTGCCCGGCTCCGTATTGTTGCTAACTACCATGGACTACCCAGGCCTAGAGCCAGGACAGAGCCTTGGTGGACGTGATCTTTTTTTTATCTTTTTTTTTTTTGAGAACAGGCGAAAATAAATATGCGCATGGATGTCATCCATAAAATTAAGTCGGTGTGGCCTTACTGTATTCTTTATTTCTGGCAATCATGGCCCATCTAAGAAAGTAAGAAAATATACAAATAGAAATACACTATATACAATATTAACAGCAGTTTAAAATATGACTATGACTAGAGACAGACCCAGATATTGCGGAAGAATCTGTTGCAGAAGATTACATCGGATTTGAGAACAGATTGGATGATGTTATTTGAGGAGTTATACAGACAAGATTTTTGAAATTTATTATTGTGAACTTTTTCCTGATTATATTTCAGTCCATACTATTTTATGGATGAAATATATTGTTTTTCCTCATGTTTTTCTGTGTATGCAATTTCCCACTGGCTCCCATAAGGCAACGGGCATTTGTATAGCAGGAAATTGAAGACAGGAAATAAGATAACATTTGCTGGGACCTTTGAACTAACCAGTCAGTGACACTGGTGTGTTCACAGAAACACTGATCACAAAACAAAGCTTTTCATCTTGGTAAAAATGCAGAAGAAGTTAAAGATTGTGTCACATAATTCCACCATGCTGAAAGACCAAGACTTGATGACTGAAAAATATAAACTAGAAATCAAGTCATCATCAGTAAAGTTCAAAGGACAATCTGTGCAAAGATTCCTATATTACTGTAACCTTAAATTAGATTTAAAAATCTATGCTGCTATGGTCTTCATAGAGATTATCATTATATATAATACATTTGTATATAATACATTTGTATTATGTGGTTATGTACTTTAAATATAGTCCTGACAAAAATTCATCTTGTGAGTCTGAGTTGGTGAATGAAGAAGGTTCAACCAACCTCCTTAAGGCCATGTTGATTTGATTATATGGATGACATCCTCGGGGAACCCCAAAATTGATGTGCGCGTGCGAATAAAAAAAAAGTTTTGCAAAAAAAAAAAGTTGTTTTCATTATGAAATCTACGTGGTCATGAGGGTTGAACAAATGGGACAGAATATGGTTTGGCGAATAATCTAGTCTTCAAGTTCATTTCTTTACAATTTCGTTTTTTTTCGTTTGATGTTGGCATTCTACGACATTGGTATGGTTTTTTTGTAACTTACGGCATATTTTTGCTCATTTTGCAACTGTTTTATACGATTTACAGTATGGTTGAAAACGGCCGAAAATTCATGCGCGCGCGGATGTCATCCATATAATCAAATCAACATGGCCTAAGTCATAAATATGCCAAAAATGATTTCTCTATAGCTATGATACACCGAATAAAAAACAGCAAAAAATATGACTAGGTATTGTCAAAAAGTTTATTCACATATAATACTCAATGGACAGCAGTGGGCTCGGGAATAGGAGTGTAAAAAATTAAACTCACAGGAAGAAAGTCATTATTGCTTTGCTAAACGAAACTCGGATAATACTTCTAAACACAGATTTATTAGTGTTTTAAAAATGATTTCAATTGTCTTCATGTTGTCATGAAGTTTTCTATCGAAATAAATGGATTTTATTCGCTGCATGGAAGGAGTTTTTGAAGTGGTTAATTTTGCTTCAATATAATTATTCCGACTACCTCATGATAGTCTAGTATGATCCCTGGTGTGTGTTTTACTGTTTGGTATATACACGTACATGTAGTAAAACTGCTAATGAACACACTGCTGTACACACGTGTATAATCATCTTACGTTGAACTAAGGGTAGCAGTTCGTGTGCGGAAATTTGTTTTGGCTCCGTGAAATTTCATCGAAACCCGGGAATTCTCCACTTCTTCACATCTTGCCGCTAAATGAAGGAGTCAGAAGCTTTGAAGTTTGTAATTGGTCTGCCGTCACCTTCAATATGTGTTGAATAAAAATCATCCTTCTCCTCATAGAAAATGGCAGTAATTCTTAATTAAGTTCCTTTCATGGCGCAAGGGAAATAGCGAGTACAATATGCAGACAATTAGCAGTTCAAACTGCGCAGAGCGGGTAGGTTTGGTTGTTTTCAGCTACCAGAATAAAATTTGCCGCCAACCCGGGCGGCTGGATGTAGCGAGATGGGAGATGTTTATGAACAGACTTGGGGATACGGGATCCAGATCCGAGGCGCGGATCCGGATCAGAATATAGATCCCGTTGGTGATCCGATTTACCAGCGGCCTCGTGGATCATCTGGGATCAATTCCCCGGATCCAGGTCAGAAAAGAGATCTAGATCCAGTTTATGAGCAGCCTTGGGGATCTGAAATCCCGATCCGGGCCCCGGATCCAGATCAAAATATAGATCCTGAGGGGCAAGTTTACGAGCAGGCTTGGGGATCTGAAATCCCGATCCGGGCCCCGGATCCAGATCAAAATGTAGATCCGGAGGGGCAAGTTTACGAGCAGGCTTGGGGATCTGAAATCCCGATCCGGGCCCCGGATCCAGATCAAAATGTAGATCCGGAGGTGGAGGTGTACGAGCAGGCCTGGGGATCTCACTTCCAGATCCGAGGCGCGGATCCAGATCAAAACATAGATCCGCGCCTTTGGATCCCGCTGAGGGAGCGTCGTGGCCGGGAAGGTTTCGGGACGACCGGGCGCGACGAGAACGTAGGCCGGCCTTCCCGTGACCGCAGCCCGGTGTTGGTGTTTCCGGCCGCGCCTGGGGCGCCGGAGGGCGGAACGAGCGACGCACCTGACCTAGGTAAGGGCCTGCATGCACTTTTTCGTAAGCGTTAAGTATTCGTAATCCGTAGGCAGTCACCCAAAATCAATGTAATTCGTAATCAGTATATTAGCCGTAATTGGTCGTTTTCATTCTACGTATACGTAAGGCGCACTCCTAGGCAGTTAGTACCAGTAACTTATCTGTAAAACGTAATACTTTAATAAGTACTCCATGATTTAACGCAAGTTTGAGAATTTGTGGGGTCATGTGGCGTAGCGGTAGAGTGCTCGACCCGGAACCAAGAGGTCCAGAGTTCGAGTCCTGACATGCAACGGATCTTGTGCCCTTGGGAAAGGCATTTTCCTCTTACCTCAAGTGAAATATATGAGTATTATCCTGTCCTGTATTTGTACTCTGTGTTAGTGGCGGCATTAAATAACGCCGATTACGTTAAAAAAATTTAACGTAATCGGCGGTGAAATTTTTTTTGGAATTCGTAATCACTGCCCCCTACCTCCTTTTGCCCGGCGCTCCCAGGTGGACCGGACCTAGAGCCGGGTGGACCCGACCCCGTGCCGGAGGGACCCGATCTCGTACCGGAGGGACTCGACCCCATACCGGAGGAACCCGAGCCTGCGCCCGGTGAAGCTGAACCCGTGGACCTGCTGAATCCGCTATACGTCTCTGACCTCCCGCCAGGTACTCACTTTTCTATTATGTATGCCTCTTTCTACGTCGATGAAGGTTAGGCTTTTTGGTATACCTCTTTTTCTCGCTCGCTCACTCACTCACTCACTCGCTCGCTCGCTCGCTCGCTCGATCTTCTGACATCATGGTTAATCGTTGTGCATTTCTTTATTTCTGTCAGCCTTTTCTCTTAACAATGCTGATGTGTTTACAGTGAAGGTATTTACGTGAATTCATGATAGCATGATGTATTTATTATAAGAAGAAATTTATTGCACGACATTTTCACAAGGTACAATATATGGCAAACTACATAGAGAAAGTAACAAACAATAAAATAAATGTATTGAATAAGACCTAATGTCGAATAAAACCTAACATATCTTAATTACTCAAACAGTAAGGGCTAGCACAAGTCTTTGATAGTGTTACAATCGAGTGGGCTAATCACAAGTTTCTGTATTTCTTCTAATAACAAAGCAGTCCTTTATATATCTACATATTTTTGCGTTGTGGGAACCGTTACATGTAAAGATATATTCAAATCTGTCTCCAACATAGAGACTCTTGAAATCCGTTGTACTTGATTCGAGAAATGTAAATATCTGCAGTTGTCGGTATTTTTTCAAGTGGTTTTAGAAAATGGATCAGTGGATAAACCTATAAAGCCTCAATTCAAGCTCATTTGACTGTTCAAAGCCGTTGATATCTACATAACGTTACATGTATATATGCATCGATAGTTTTAACCCAGCATATGCAGCACAGGCATGTTCAATTTTTAGTGTGTTTTTTTCACTAATATTTTATGTGTGTTTATACCTTTCCTTAGATATTACTGGTATGACACAGGTATAAAGCAATTTAAATCACAAATTCATGAAAGTGTAAATTATTGTGCTATTTGTAGGGACGCATTTTAGAGGAAAAAGTGGCCAACAACATTAATCTAAACATAAAAGAATATCAGTTAGGCCACAGCAAGTAATTTTATGGATAACATCAACGCGCGCATTAATTTTCGCCTGATTTTGAAAAAAAAATTGTTGCCTTCTGACAGTGGTCAACATGCCGCAAATGGACAAATATACCTGTTGCCATGCCGGAAGGTGGATGGCAGATAACTATGAAGAGAGGAGACAAGAAAAGGCTCTGATTTAATGTTTTGTTTCTTACTTCAATGCAGTGATATGTGATTCTGGCTGTGTATTATGTGATGTTCCCACTGAATGAAAACCATTTGTACAATGATTGAGTCAAAATGTTTGAATGTAGGAACCTTGTTTTTTTCGGCCCGCCTTTTTTTCGCCCGCTGGCATTAGATTTGGATTCTGCGGAGGATGTCATCCATACAATTTACTTGCTGTGGCCTTATGTATCATTTTTCACAGCAATTTAGTATACACAAGGTGCATACTTTATACATTATTATCACTTCACATCATTGCTATTACAGTACGGTCTAGTCCGTGTGGACAAATCTTTCGTAAATGCAAATATTGAAAACTAAAAATCAACTCTTATTTAGGTAATGTCCAGGACAACACCATCTGTGGAAATGGGCTGTCACGTGGCCGGCTGGTATGCGTCGCCGTGGCAACGGTCGTCATGGTAACGCTGATGACGTCAGTGCCCTTTGCTGTGATGATGGACCACTCCAACCCGAAAAGTGCAGGGGTAAGAGTTATTTATTTTCTTATTAATTTATTTATTTACTTATTCATATATTTATTTTTTGTTTATTTAACTGTTTTCCAAGGGGGGCCAGGATGTTACAAGACAGGATGTTACATACAGTAAAACAAAGGAAGAACAACATACAGTAAACAATAAAGTCCAATGCGTCAAAACAAAATCATAATCCGATATTCAAGGTCCTAACCGTTCCATGGTCAAAACACCAATGTATTATTTATCCTCTTCTTTCTGTCTTGAATACAATGAAAATATTTAACCAACATACTTATCTCTACATATAGTTTTTTTTTTGATAATATAGTCTACACTGTAAAATTAACGTTGTGTCTCCGAAACAAATTATTGTTCAGAAAGTAACGTTAGGGATTTTTTTCTTCAGCCGAAGTGATCCGAGATGTACAGTTTAACAATGTAATGTAAAACTGAAACACATCAGGACACTAGTATTATCAGTATCACATCCTAATCATACATTCATTGTACTGGAGTATTATGGAATCCAAGGCCCTACGCTAAATTGGTTAAAGGCTTTCCTGACCAACAGGGAGCAAACAGTAGTGGTTGAAGGGAAGGCGTCGGCTCCAGTTAAAGTAGCGTCTGGGGTCCCTCAAGGAACCGTCCTGGGGCCATTGCTCTTTCTCTTGTATATAAATGACCTACCAGATCAGCTTGACTCAAATGTGAGGTTATTTGCCGACGACTGTCTATTGTATGTAGAGCTTTCTACACAGACCGACTCACAACTTCTCCAAAAAGACCTGAACACCCTGGAAGAATGGCAAAGCAAATGGCTCATGCAGTTTAATCCCGAAAAATGCTACATTATGCACATAACAAACAAACGAACACCACATGCAACTAGCTACCAGTTTTGTGGTCAGGCTTTAGCAACCACAAAAATCCATCCGTATCTGGGCGTCACGCTGACAAGCGGACTGAAGTGGGGTGCACATGTTAATAATATCACAACTAAGGCGAAACAGACATTGGGAGTGATTAAACGTAATCTGTGGGCATGTCCAACTAGAGTAAAATCACTTGCATACACGTCACTTGTAAGACCGAACCTAGAATACGCTGCGACAGTATGGGATCCATATACAAAGAAAGACAAAGACAAATTGGAAAGGGTACAGAATCAAGCTGCAAGATTCTGTATGAACAACTATATAAGAGGTGCTAGTGTCACGGAAATGAAAAGAAACCTACAGTGGACCTCACTGGAAGACAGAAGAAAGATGTCTAGACTATGCATGATGTACAAAATGACTAATAAACTGGTGGATGTCCCAACTACTAAGTACCTAATACCAGCCCAGAAGAGAACAAGAAATAGCCACGCATTCAAGTACCAGAGTTATCAACCGAGGATTGAGGTGTTCAAGAATTCATTCTTTCCTAGAACTATCGCAGAGTGGAACTCACTGTCACCAAGTACAGTAGGAGCACTGTCAATAGATAGCTTTAAACAATGTCTAGAGCTAGAAGTTCAAGGGTTAGGTGTAACAAGTCGATCGGTGTAATATAGCCAGCTGCCGCCGCGCCGCGTGCCTGCGAAGCTGGTGTGTTACGCCGAAAGGCGGTTATACCGGCTATACAGATACAGATACAGATACCAACATCTATTTATTCATGAATATGATATATGTATTATGTTAATAATAATATAATATCAATATTTACTAGTATATATTTACCACATTTAGAAGGAATTGACATACAGGAAACTATACTGAGTATATTAATGAACGTATTCAGGAAAATCACTGAGCATACCTGGACACACTTGTGGTTACACTATACTCACTACATATCGCATGACTGACATTTCTGCTTGTCCCACCAGGCGGCTACTATCCTGCGCACCGGACACCTGCCGGGCTGGCAGACCTCCCAACCCGCGGTGCCGGCCCCACGTGTCCCGGTCAGTGGGAACGATTCATCCCTACTTCATACATTTTCATGTTAACACTTCTTGACCGTAGTATGGTAGAGCGCTCGCTTTGTAACCGGGAGGTCGTGAGTGCAAACCCCGGCCGGGTCATACCAAAGACTTTCAAAATGGTACACACTTCTTTCTCTGCTTAGCACTCAGCATATATGAGAAAGAGTGTGGGAAGGTCAAACACACAACACTACCAGCGGACCAGCCCCCTGCTGTAGTGCCCTGCACAACTGTGTGTCGCCCAAGGGCTACGGAAATGGACATGGGCACCAAACCCTATGCTCTGTATAGAGCACTGGAGACCTTCTTATACCTTTAAACAGACGCCTTCTGTAACAAAATCTATCTGTTCTTACATTTCTATCGTTGACATAAAAAGATGCGGAAAGACGCTGAATTCTCACGCTAGAATATAATATCCTACGTTGTATCTGTAGATATGTATTTCTATTTTTTTCTTCTTGTGTGTGGCATGTACTTACTAATAATGGGCCGAATAAATACAATAAAGAAGAATTAATTAGTTAAAACGCCCCTCCTTTCATGTCTTTTTCCTGCCCCTCCCTCCTCCTCCTTCCCACTTTCTCCATCCGGTCTTCCCTGGTGCTGAATTGCCATCAAATGACAGAAAAACAGTAAAGATCGAGAAAATTATACCCAGATATTTTGTGTTTGTCCGTGATATTGTGAATGCGGCGGAAAGAACTATTTTATTCACTAGAAAAATTCATTGGGTCCTCAGATACTTAGAATGAACTTAGTTGTCCACTGTATTCTGCTGCTGCAGTAGCTTCAGCATCCTGCAGCATCAATCAGTCTTTCTTCAGTTCTCTCCACTTCGTCCTATTCATCGCGAGCCTCCTGAGCTCCTGGAGTTTTCTTTCTGACCGCAATGGTCCTAGTCCTTTTTCCTTGAGGTCTGCCCTCAGCAAACTTAGCAGATTACTGCAGTGCCTTCCCTTTCTGGATCTGTAAGTGTTAGATCACTGTAAGTGTTACCAGGGCGAAGGGCACAATGAACTTACTGAGTTTGAAGTGCCTGTACAATCACTACAGGTGAACCCCGTGCCTCCTCACGGCGATGCGGGCAAGCCAAACCCGCCCGACGTGCCTGGTCCTCGGCGCTTCACCCCAGCCACTGGGAGGACCAGTGAAGGTACGTTATCATATAACTGTCGTCGTAAGATTGTGAGAGTACATGTGTGTCTGTGCGCCACTCTATCTCTGTCTCTCTCTGTCTGTCTCTTTCTTTCTCTATCCTCTGTGCCTGTCTGTGTGTGTGTGTCTGTCTCTCTCTCTCTCTCTCTCTGTCTCTTTCTCGCTCTTTCTCTGCTCTCATTCTGTCTCTTTCTTTCTCTCTCTCTCTGTCGCTCTCTTTCCCTCTCTCATTCTGTCTCTTTCTCTGTCTCTCTGACTCTCACTCTGTCTCTTTCTCTCTCTCTCTCTCTCTGTGTGTGTGTGTGTGCGCGCGCGCGCGAAGTGGGCTACACTTAAGCCGATGCATCATTTTTGAAAAAAAAAAGAAAAGAAATGGAAATAAATACTTTTCCAGTTTCACCACCTTTTAGAAATATCAGCATTATTCTCCCACTTTTGTGTTAACGTAGAGTTCATTTTCTACAAGGACGTTTGTGAATTCTCTTTGCTAACATAGAAGTGCTTGCCGGAGGGGTGGTGAAGATCCGCACGTACGGATTCGATCCTAAAGAGTCGTCCCCCCGCGGAGTGGAAGTGTCCATCGACAACGAGATCTTCGTCACCGACAGCGTCAAACGCCTGGTGCAGGTGTACAACATGCGCGGCGTCCACCTGCGGCAGTACCCGACGGTCCTGCCAGGGGGCGCCGTGATGAAGCCGTGGGATGTGTCGCTGAGCGGAGATGGCCACCTGTGGGTCGTGGGCACGGATGACGCCCACAGCGAGCACGTCGTGCAGTACGCAAGAAGCGGCCGCCTGACCTCCAGCTTCGGCATCGGCAACAGCCTCTACATCAACGGCATCGCCGCGGATCTCCGCAACGACCGCGTCATCGTGACCTGCTCTGACGGCTACAAGGGGCGGCTGGAGATCTACCACCCCGGCGGGCACCTCCTGTTCAGCCTCGGCCCGGAGCAGAGGATGGCGGCGCCGCTCTTCGTCACCGTCAGCGCCGAGGGAAACATCGTGGCCTCCGACACCCGCACCTTCAACGTCTTCGTGTACGCGGAGACCGGGCACTTCCTCACCAAGTTCGGCGGGTACCCGTCCAGCGAGGGCACCCGGCTGTATCACCCCAAGGGCGTCTGCGTGACCAGCACCGGCGACATCGTGGTGGCCGACCCGGGGAACCGGCGGCTGGTGGTGTTCACGGGCCGCGGCCGGTACCTCCGGCAGATCGCCACCGGGATGCGCGGCATGCAGGGGGTCGCCGCCGGGCCTGACGGGCAGCTGGTGGTGGTGGACGACAGAAACCGCACTGTCACCATCTACCCCGACTACTGATCCACCGGGTCAGCTAGCTAGCCTCCAACAGGCTTCGGGAAGCGGCTGGAAAGAGTAGAAAATGGCCAAAACGTCAGACAACATGCTAGGGAAAGTTGGTCGGCAAACTGTGGACTAATTATATATAACTCCCATGGCATGTTGTCTATCTCTTTCGTCAATTTCTACTCTTTCCAGCCGCTTCCCGAAGCCTGATAGAGGCTACAGTTCCCGTCAGCCCGATCGCTGTGCCCTTTGCGTGCTTTCGCACTGCCCCGCCCCCTGGCGTAGTACGCGCATACTGCATGTTTTTGAGGGTCTGCCAACTTCCTTTCTTTAAAATAACTAGCCAACCCTTTTGCGCTTTTTAGTGTTTCATTTTTATCTAATTATGAATACTTGCATATATATTTACTGATGTTTTGTGCAGGGCCACAAAAATGATACTAATTATATTGTTGATTCATTTATCTTGAATTGTAATAGAATGTAACGTGGACTGTTGCATGTACTTAGTATTTGTACCTTTGATGCCACAAATGACACTGGCAGCATATATTTATACATTCATGTACACTGTACCAGGCATTGTGTAAGTGTAAGTAGATTTCATTTAATGATAATAATGATTGCTTGTTGTTGTCGAAGAAGTACATGTATACAACCAATGACATATTGCTATCACCACTGTACAATGTTGCTACAAAAACAGGCCGACTTGTGTCGTTATATTTAAGGGCAGCCAAACAATTCTGCAAGGATGATTGTGACAATCGTAATTGATGTAAATAGAAAGACAATGAGGTCAACATTTCGTGTGTGTTTCTTTTTTGTCATTTTTCTTATAATACTAATATGTACTTTTCAAAACCAGTCTTCAAAACTGCACGCGCACTCCTAGACACAAGATCACGTGGACTTCATTGCACAACAATTGTACAGGGTACAAAGTATGGCATTTACTAAGTCCATATTACTATAGTAACTATATTGTCATAATGCTTGACATAACTAATACAAGAGTGGGTGGATACTATTTGATGAACTTTTATAATCATTGGAGGAGTTTCTAATATCTATACAGTCTTTAATATATATCCCTATGTGTAGCATGCAGGGGTTGTCACAAGTCAGTATGTATTTAAATTTGCTTTTTGAGCTCATTGTGGTAAATGCTGGAATAAAATCTGATAGTGTATTTTTGCGTATATCGAAATATTAGGGACATACAAGCAAAAGGTGATATTCGTCCTCTCTGGACATACCGTATACACACGCTCTAAACGCATACTATCTGATCATCATTAAGACTCTTTCCTTTTCTCACCGCGGACAAGCTTTAAGACACTTCGAACCATTTTTCCAAACCAATAAACGCTCATCAGCTCAAACACGGTGTGCGTGCCGAGTGCACCAACGATGGTGAGCCAGTCGAACTTGAACATTCTACCCGAGAGGATCACGGGAAGGGTGTAGTACCAGTACAGAGGGATGGTGGCGATTCTGCACAGGAAGAACACCGTCACGAAGCAGAGGCCGTTGATGACGTAGGCTTGGGACGTTTTTTGCCCGAGTTCAAGCAGGACGACCCTAGAATTTATTTCAGCAAGAGATACATTTTCACCAAGATTAAGAATTTAGATCCGTAGCTTATTTCATACATTTCATATACATGTTATATTAGCATATACAAGTCATGGTAGTCTAATAGGGTCGACTTAGAGACCCTTCTTACATATTAGAACACGTTTACAACTAAGGGTTCTAACATGAAAATATATTATTTAGAACAGTACTGAATGTTTTGTGTGAAAATGAAAAAAAGTTCAGAAACTAGAAAGGTAACATTTGCAAAGCAAATGCATAATGTTTACCTTCGCATATGGTCTGCTCTGTTAATTCTTACTCAAACACATTCATATATATGATACAGGAGTCTAAATCCCTCCTGCTATAAAATTGCAACATGATGTAAACCAACACTAGTTACCATGGTAACAGTCTTGGTTCAGGTCATCGACCTTTTTGGATTGGAGAAGAAGAGGAAACGTAGCAAAAACAATATGTTTTCCATCGGTAATCATGATAAACATGACAAGACATACCTGATAGTTTGGAAGGGGTTGGATAGCTCCATCATAATTCCCAGGTTCATATGCCAGGGCATGGCCCCTACAAACTGAACAATAGATAAGAAAAATGACACCAAAGTTGTCATGATTTATCTTTACAAGAACACCATCCTAACCATGAAAGTTTGATAGTCATACAATAACTTGTTGTCCCAAGATAACCCAAAAGATCATCACTTTCATGAACTCTCTCACCACTGCCTGGGACCCGGTGATCAGGCTGACCAGATGATGAACAAGTATGTCCACTCCAAACACCTGCTGTTCCAGCGTCAGGACAAGTTCTGTGAAAGGGAACGCGTTGTTACTTTCCATGTTGTTCATTTGTAGTGCGGGGTCGTGTGGCGTAACGGCAGAGCATTGGGCTCAGAACCAAGAGGTCCCGGGTTCGAATCCTGCCATGTCATCAACCTTGTGCCTTTGGAAAATGCACTTAACACGACTCCGCTCATGTGTAGATGAGTATGCCAGAATGATTATTATCGTGATCGTGGCATTAAAAGAAAAAAACCAAACCAAAACCATTTATCGATATGCAATCCACGAAACGTCACGTGTTAGCATAGCGTCCAAATTCAAAGTCAACATGAAAAAAGTAGCACACGTGTAACTAGATCATACGAACCAGCCAAAATTCGTCCGAGCCAGATTCCTCCTAACTGGCGAACAATTAAGTTTGGTCTGCAAAGAAAGAAGAACACTTTAAACGTACTGCGGCACCAGTAAAACATTTTTAAGTATATATATATCCTTTTTTGGGCCATATCATTTTCAAACTGATATAAGACCAAGTTCATCTGTATTGCTAGTTAAATGTTTCAAGGTAAAATATTTTCTTCTCACCTACAGATGTCGACTAGTCACTCTGGTCTTCCTCAGTAGACTGACCCAGTCAGGCTTGTCACGTGGCCTCTCTGATCCAGTGTTGACATCACACTTCAGACTACGTGACATGTCTCACTGGGTCAGTCTATTGAGGTAGACCAGAGTGACTGGTCGAATGCTCTTTGTGAGAACATTTACCTTTTGTGTTGTGTTGTGTTGTGTTGTGTTGTGTTGGAACAAAAGTTTTTTTCCTTGAAACAACTTAGGTACATCGATATCGCTGGAGATGACGGATGCCCAAGTGTGTGGGTCTCAGATTCGCAACCTGTTATCCACCTTAAACAAATCCACGCGAAGACCACCGTGTCAACTGTAACCCTTATTCAGGTGTAGGGATCGACACGATAATCCTACTCGGAAAATATGTATCTGTGTATCTGTACATCTGTGAATCTGTATTTGTGCATGAATATGTATCTGTACATGAATCTGTATCTGTACATGGATATGAATCTGATTGCAAATAAAGATCTCGAGTGATCTCGATAGATATGAGTAGACATCGTTGGTTATTACACTTACTCGTATCTATGCGGTGAGACGTCAGGCCGGAAGAATAAGATGTACAAGGAGAGGGTGTTCTCTACAAGTGTGACCAGTATGGAGGCAGGGCTGGAGAGAAAAAACAGACCACAGGCATATAAACCATAGCAATAGTACAGAATAACTGTAACTCCTAACATCAACGAAGTTATATAGACCTTGATTATGTATCCCAACTTGATTGATCATGCACCAGTGATGAGTAGCAGCAAAATATATTTGCTTACTTCAAAAGTCAACATCAGTCCTAGTCTTTTCCCTGAATTACCTGATTATATTGCTAAATAGACATTATATGACTAATGAATGAGAAACTAGTCTGCGATCTCACACAATCGGAACATAATGCTAACCTTCACAACAAACGTATTTAAAGGCTTCTCAGATACACTGACACAGTTTTTGTAAAACGCGACGATAATAACTACAATGTTTTGAAGTAAAGAACCTAGTTCAGTTTTCAATGCAATATTATCGTGACCTTGAAAATGTAATGTCTCTACTAGAGAGGGAGGGGGAGAGAGAAAGAGAGAGGGAGAGAGAGGGAGAGAGAGGGAGAGAGGGAGAAGAAGAGAGGGGGAGAGAGAGGGGGAGAGANAGGGGGANAGGGAGAGAGAGAGAGGGGGAGAGAGGGGAGAAAGAGGAGAGAGAGAGGAAGAGAGAGAGGAGAGAGAGAGGAGG